ACTTGTAGAGACTGTTGTTCCGTGCTTGTGATATGTTAAAGTCGCACTTCGTCTTGGCAACTTCTGCCCTGTTTATATAGACAGAGAGAGTGGACACGTGGGTATCGAAATCTAGTGGTTTTGCCGTCTATACCTTCTATACGAGGTTTGCAGCCTTGATTCCGGGTCGGAACAAATCCACAAGGGAAACAAGGGGGGGGGGGGTAGTAATTCAGCAGGTAATTACCAATACGGATGTATGTTCCTTTAACCCCGTTTCCGCGCGGATGATGGTATGGTACATAATACAAGTTCCCGAGACTGTGTCGGCATATGGCGTACGGGATACGGCATACCAAGAAGCCGAATCCGAGTTTGTGTTGCCCTTCTACGAAGGCAATTTACATGTATGGAAAAGGGAAAGATAAGACTGGAGGTTATGGGCGTTGTCCTACGCACCCGGACATAAGGGGGAGCGTATACGAGGTACATACTCGGTACTCGTACCAAGGGATATACATATTATGTAAGGTGGTGAAGTGGGTTCAGAAGTTCAAGGGGTTGTTCGGGAACATAGTGAGGACCGATAGTAAGTCAAGTCGGGACAATATCCTCCCATTCCTCGCTCTCCCGCTCCAGTTTGGGATAGTAATAAGGTCACGGAGGGTGGGCGAGACACAATAAAGTCTCCGAGGAACTGAGAACTCGACCTGAGGAATAGGGCTATCTAGGTAGACACCTACACAGGTTCTTGGTAATACGAGGTACTGGACCCGCGTACCTTATTCAGCAGGTGGTCGAGTGCAACGAGTGCCACCAATGCAGCGCGTGTTATTCGCGGACTGGTAGTTGTCGGGGCCTGTTGCAGGTAGCCACAATGCATTGCCCTTCCTTGGGGTCACTGTGATATTACGTGTACTCACACAAGACAAGACAAGATAGAGCAGAGAGATCATGATGGATTCCGCTCAATGAAAAACACATCTTGCAAAAGGTTGATATGAGGCTAAATGCACATGGCACATCGACAATTCCCCTTCCCCTTTAACCACGTAAAGGAGTCAATAACAGAACCCGACTTTTGATACGTAGCAATGCTCGTTGAACCCTTGCAATGATGCACATGCACTGTCGAGGGAGGAATTCCAAACAAGATAACAGCGGTCCTTGTCAAGAAACCGTGTCTCCATCTTTGCTGCTGCCTCGACTGATGACCCTCATCAGCCTCTCGGCGACACTCCCTCTTCTCTCGTGTTCTTTCTCCTTCTCCCTCTCCTTCTCCTCCTTCTTCCTTTGCTTCTCCTGCTCCTTTCGCCTCTTGCGCTCTTCCTTGCTCTCCGGCTCAGGCCACCCAACCTCCCAGTAAGGACCCCGGGACCCCATCGGCCCTCCCCACGCGAGAGACTGTAGTCCTCCCGCTCCCCCACGAAGATCCGGTAACATGCCGTTGGACCCAGCATCGACGTATAGCTTGGACTCGGCGAATTCTTTGAGCGCCGCAAGTTCTTCTCGACTGTTGGCGAACCCGTGCGACGCTTTGTATGGCGGTAGCCTCTCCCGTCCGGGATCGGCTGTGGCGGAGTAGGATGGTGGTGATGCCATTCTTCTTTGGTGTGCTGATTGTGTGTCAAATGTGTACTCGTTGTTTCGCTCTCAGTGCCCTTGAGATGTGACGAAGGGAAGGAGAGAATTGCTTTGCGTGTAAAATGTCTCTTGACAGTCGACTCTCTGTTGATTGCCTATTGACCGCAAGGAGATGTCAATGGTACAGAAAAAGAAGTGCCAGGCGGAATAGAGCCGGTGAAGTGGAGTTCTTTGCAGATTTTGTGTTGCTGCGGGATAAAGATCCTGGGATGCTCAATATGTATCATGGGGGAGTGTTCGGTGGACCGGGTTAGAGTTTCCAGAATGATATGATGTGAGGACTCAGACTTCAGGATTCAGGCACGAAGACGGCGATATGCGAGACGCAGAGTGTAGAGTCTGGGCGCAGTACGAGTAAGAGGGATCTGGTGACTCGATGTTTGGTCTCTTTATCCCCATTGGGGCCAACGTCATGGCTGCGTTACCCGATACGCAGGCACAAACTGCGCCCATATGCGCCCATCTGTTTCAAAACTGGGAGAGTCTCATCCTCGTGGATTCTCACTCCGCGTCACATGCCGCCCGATTCAACACACGCCCAAAGACGCGCAGCATTCATTGGCCGTCCGTCGCCGCGTTCTGGCCCTCCCCCCGCGATGCCATGAATGAACCATTGTCTTGGTATATGCTCTTGGTTGCTTTCAGTTATACACATCACACCATTGCCCGTAATCTTTGGTTCTGTTCACTTCAAGTCTCGTGGTGTGAGAACAGGCAAAGAGAAATGAGAAGACCGCAAAAGAAGCCCGCGCCCAGACTGATCATCGGTGTCGAGACGATCGACCAGCTCTCAGGAGAATTCTTCCGCGAACGAGGTCATCAATGTTTTCCACCCTGCAACCGGGGTAGGTACCGACGTAAGCATCTCGATTTGACCCTGACGCCTGCGGGCTGCTATCTCAAGCTGGGATGCGCGGTCCCACCACCAAACTAGATGGTAAAAAACCACAATCGCCTCGGCAGATCGATTGGCATCGGAGACAAGACAAGCATCTGATCAGGCGGGGCAGTGGAGCGTCCGCTAAGACTTCGCTCGTGCTTGTGTGCATGTCGACCCTGTTTTGCTCCTGCGACACCGCAGAGACATGGCGGTTCCTTATCTAGCAAATCAATTGCACAAGTCAACGTCAATTGGCTCTCACCGTGGATTCTGCATGGATGGGGTGCATGATGGGGCCAAGCCGACATCGAGTCGTTGGCGCCCTCAATTGTAACCTCGAGACTTCAATGCCGAACACCCTGAATCAGAGATTCCCCAGGTTTGACAGCTTACTGCGGAACATCTCCACGCGACTCTTTGTGAGGGTAACACGCTTCAGTACACACGCAACATGTGGACCAGCCCCTACTCAGTGGCCCTACTGGTAATCATCGCTTGGCTGTCCCTTCAGGTAGCCCAGGCTTTGTACAATGTCCTTCTTCATCCCCTCCGAAATTATCCAGGTCCCCTGGCAGCCCAGGCTTCTGGGTGGTACAAGACCTACATTGAACTGTTTCTGCAGAGGAGTTGGACTGACGTCCTGGTCGAGCTGCATCAACGCTATGGCAAGTTAATCACATTGAGGACGTCAATGGTGCTGACCTGGCCCAAGGGGACGTGATCCGTGTGGCTCCAAATGAGGTATTAATAACTTCTTCCCTCCAGGGCTGCACTGATATATGAAAGCTGCATTTCTCGAACCCGCAAGCCTATCACGATATCTACAACAATGTCAACCGTTGGGACAAAAACAGGGAGCTGTATGAATGCTTTGGCGAGGACCACTCTTCGTTTGGCTTCCTCAGATACCACGAAGCCAAGCAGCGCAAGGATGTCTTGCAACCGCTCTTCTCCCGACGAAACATCTTACAAATGCAGACCCTTGTCCGCAAGAATGTAAGTAAAGACAGAACTACCGTGGAAGCTGACTGACTCTCTTGCCATCAAGATGGACCATCTCGCGGACAGGCTTTCAGAGGACTTCGTGGCAGGGAAGTCATCAGACTTGTTCTTCGCCTTCAGATGCTTTACCATGGACACGATAACAGGTTTCTGCTTCGCCAAATCTGTGAACGCCATCGATGTACCTGACTATAACGCCCCCATTATTGAAGCTATGGAGGCATCTGGGCCGGCCTTCATCCAATTTAAGCATTTGCCATTGTTCCGGAAATTCGTCTTCTCGCTTCCTCCGAATATCGCCATGAAAGCTTCGCCCGAGACAGCAGGCTTGACGCGTCTGCAGGTCATCTTACGAGATCAAGTCGACCAAGTAACAGCCAATCCAAGCATACTCAAGGAGGCTCCTCACCCTATCATCTATCATCGACTGCTTGATCCTGAAGTGCACAAAGGCCAGCCTATCCCGAACAAACAATCGCTCTACGAAGAAGCCCAGGCTTTGATGTTTGGAGGCGGCGACACTGTCGGAAATACCTTGATATTCGGCTTCAACCAGATTCTGCAGCCGTCGAACGAGGAGCTCTACCAATCTCTCCGCGAAGAAATCCGGTCTGTCTGGCCAGATCTTGCTGCCCCACCAAGCTCTTTCGAGGTATTTGAGTCTCTTCCACTACTCACCGCGACCATCAAAGAGTCTCTGCGGGTTGCGCCAGGCGTGGTGTCCCCTCTCCTTCGCGTCGTCCCAGCCAAGGGCGCAACAATTGCTTCTCACCGGATCCCTCCTGGCACGGTTGTCGGCATCTCAGGCATCTTTGTCCATTCCTCTGCGACCATATTCGACAGTCCAGAAAAGTTCATGCCCCAAAGGTGGCTGCACTCTGGCACTGACCTCGAATCCAATCTGGTGGCCTTCAGTCGCGGTCCGAGGTCGTGTCTGGGCATCAACCTCGCGTGGTGCGAGTTGTACGTCGCCTTTGCCACCATGTTGCGACGGTTCGAGCTTTTGGAGATTGACCCAGATTCCCCGCCCGCCGACCTGAGGTTTCGCGACTCCTTCCTGCCCAATTTTCACGGAGAAAACCATCTCAGAGTGCGGTGCAAACCGGCCACGGAGTGACAAGGTTGAGAGGCTGTAGCGGTGTGTGGGCAGACAGGTGGCTTTGATCACCCTGCGGCCGGAATGCGGCATGCAGCTATATATAAGGACTGGTAGGGAAACAGAAAAACAGAAAGAGAGAAGAAGAGATTGAAACGAGGAAAGCCCATTTTATTTTCCGTTCCATTAGATAGATCATCCGCGAAAAGTCCGTACCACATAGATAGAAACAACTAGCCCCCCCTACTTGAGCAGACCCGTTTCGTTGTCAATCAAGCATACAACTAGAGTCCATATACCGCATCGTTCTCCCCAGATTACACTGCAATTACAGCCATCCCTCGCGGTGGTATCACCTCACCTCACATTACCTCCTCCCTCCCTACCTCCCTCCCGGCCTCACCGTACATAAGCATTCTGATCAGAGAGGAGCTGCGTGACCCACTCGTCCAACCCCGGCATGTACCCGTCGACGACGTAGAAACCGTGCAGAATGCCCCTGACCTCGTGCCAGCTTTTCAGGCCCATCTGCCGCGCGTGGCGCGTGAGGGTCGTCGCGAACCACCATGTGTCGTTGTCGGCGGCGCCACAGGCGTCAGAGACGGAGGCAGAGGCGGAAGCGGAAGCAGAGGATGAGGTGGATGTGGAGGCGTTGTCGTGGCCGTTGCCAGTTCCGGTTCCGGTTCCGGCTTCATTTTCAGTACTACTGCGAGTTCCGTTATCGAGACCAGTTCCAATCCCACCGCTACCGCCGTCCTTACCATGACGATTTCCGCCGCTGTTCCCTGCAGAATCGCCGTCGGCGCTGTATGGTGAAGCAGCCGGCGGATTGTGCTTCTTCTCCGTCCAGCTGCCAACACAAAGCGCCCAGAGTATGGCGTTGCTGTGATCACCTTGAGGTAGTCCCTCGACGGCGAGATCGCTCTCGTCACCAGACGAGCCAGCACTGGCGGTGGAGTCACGTGTCAGCTTCGCGGCGTGCATGGTCAGCGACAGGGCCGATCGAAGACGGGCGAGGAAATCGCGCGCGTTGACAAAGACGGTCTGCACCGACTCCAGGTTCGTGCGGTTGAACTCGAACATGATGAGAAACGTGAGCGCGAGCACCCGCTGGGTCTGCCAGTAGAGGTTCTCGCGCGCGTCAGGCATCGGCTGTTCCGTGGTCGGGTCGAAATTGAGGTGGTGGGACGCCTCGGTCTTCAAGATAAAGTCGACGAGACGGCTGTGCAGGATGGTGCCCTGGATGTGGATCCAGACTTGAACCATGGAAAACAGCTGCTCCCCCGGGTGCGATTCAGCGGGGAGACTGAACATGTGGTCCCCGAGCAGCATTTCGACGAACAGGGAGCGGAGTGGCTCCGCAGAGATGCTGCGATCGAGTCTGCGGAGCATGACCTGCTGATAGGGTTCCAGGTAGGCCTTGGACGGCTCCAGATAGGCTGCGAGCACTTTAGGGACCCATTCCTCTACGTCAAACACGGACAGCGAAAAGCGGAAAACCGACAGCTGCTTGTTCTGGTAGAGGACCCGCAAGAGAAAGCCGAGATCGACAACGCCGCCCTCGCGATCGTATTTCTGCTCGAGCAGCTTGCGCAGCGTGTTGGCGTGGAGCCCCGCTTCGTCCAGATCTCCGGCAATCAGGGCCCCACGGAACAGCATCGAGACGCTATCCAGTACGAGAGATTGGGCTTGGGCGACGCTGCCTTTAACTAGTTCGCGGCGGAGCGCTTTGATGCTTTGGTGCTTTAGCAGGAGCGCCTCGTCCTCCAACCCCTGGTGAGGGCTGACTTTAATCATAAAGGCCACATTGATAAAGAGAAGAGCTCGGGCGCTACATTCGAGACGGAGAGCTAGTACTCCGTCTCGGTATTCCTGATTTTGCAGTGCCTCAATCCGTCGGATGGCGTCCTCCGACCCCATAAAGGCCGGATAGATCATTGGGAGGTAGCCATGCTTAAAGAAAGTCAAGATCTGGTTGACGCGTGGTGTGACGTGGATCGCGAGACTGTTAAATGGGTCCGAGTTGCCTTTTTGCAGAATCGAAACTAGATTTGGCGACACCAATGCCTGGTTCCATGCAGTCTCGCTCGCACCGGTGGGTTGTGACTCTTCGCCAATATGCTGACGTTGGTGGTTCGCATTGTCTTGGTCGGATAGCTTCAGCTTTCGCCATTTGTGTGATAGTCGCGCCGCGTGAGATCTCGCAGTAGCCTGGTAGAGCTCGCGCTCCCGTTGAGAACTCCCTCGTGCAAGCACAGGCAGGAACGTTATGTCCACCTGGGCCATGTGTTGCGGTGTTGCCGATGGGTAACTTGGTGGACGTCTTCCCAACAAAGCCGACTGCTTCGACCTTCAATTCCTTCGACTCTTCTGGCTGGGATTGAGTCCTTATTACACGCTTTCGGAGCATTCCGCCCCCTTCAATCGGCCTCGTATCCGCCACAGGTTTGCATATGTAATCGTCTGGATTCTGGAGGCGGCGAGCCCACGTGGAAAAGCGATGCATTTCAGCACGCCACTGATTAACTGCTTGAAGTAAAGGCAGGGATACTGTGGATGTTCGAGGTCCCAGCTCAGCAAATTGTTTCGCAGAGATTCAGTGAATCGTGGTTGATGCCAAGGGTTCGAATTGGGAAGCATCCGACGAGGTGCATCCAGCAGCACCAGTGATGGAAGGTGTGCTATTTCTTAGCTCCAACAGGAGGCGAAAATAAACAACCTCTTACCAACGGCGTCCAAGGAGAATAAGGGATGGCCACCCGACGGTTGGCTAGCATATTGGCAAAGCTTACCTAACCGCCTATTTGACAGTCTAGACCAAGGCTTTGAGTGGTGAGGGAATCCAGATCCCAGCACGCGAGAAGCTGTAGATTCCCGATTTCTTACCTAAGGACAGGGTTTTGTTCGACTCTGCATCCAGGACGTTTGTCAGCGCGGCTCAGGAGCGCTGGTTTCTCTATTTCTGGCTCATGGGAGCAGTAGCAGTTGACAGCCTTGTCACATTCACATGCGAGAGCAAGAGAATTCCGACATGAAAATGGGCAACTTGCGAACGAATAGAATCAGTAGGTTAGAATTAGTAGGGCTAAGGTGTCTCTGCGTGTCCAATATAGACTTGCCTGGTGATATAGAAAGGGTTGATACATTGAACTTGAAGACGTACTCGTATTGTGTAGAAATCCGCTAGTCTGACAAAGGGATAGCCTGTGTTAGTGTCTTGGCATATTTAATTTAGGAAGGTATCCCTGACGCGTCTGGTTGGTGGCCCGTGCGTGTCACACACATTTGCACTCACACCCCGTCTCCCCTTCACCCTCTCATATCGTCCATCCTCACAATACATGATGCCCTCCCGGCCTCTGGACTATTTTTAAATATCATTCATGATCTGCCCATAGACCTGTTTGCTATAGCGAAAAGAGCTGTTCCGGCCGTACGCGTGTCTTCCCCCAAAAAAAAAACACACCAATACCCTGACCATGTGGCTTGACCCTCCCACCATCACATGGCAACCCTTGAGCAATGTTCCAGGTCCCCTTTTCAAGAATTGACAGGTCTTACATATCACATCTCCAATGGCATCTTACTTTAGACCGGCTGTCAAACCAACATCTGGCATTGGCCTGCTGTCAATTCCTCCTACAAGACTGGTGACATGATCCCTACAGAGAGACACTCCTTGCTTGCCCAGCGTTTAGGATTTGGCCCGGGATAACTCTACTGGGGCATTTGGGCACTCTGAATTTCCTCTGAGAAAGAGTCCATGGACCTATACCATTCATGCCTCTGTCACAAACTCAGAACCCGACCCCTGATTCAATTTTGTGTCGATGCTTGCCGGATCAAGATTTTGCAGGCCAATTCGCAATGTCCTCCACCATCTGGACTTGGCCTCATGGCCGAGACCGCGATCCAGCTGACGAAGCCCTATTGAAGTCGACCATCGCTGGCGCAAAAGGAAGACTGTTGAAGCCATGATATAGCGCAAGCTTCCCTGTCGTGTCTTTTTGAGATTTGTACCAAGCTCTTTCTACACTCATTTGCTGTCTATGCAGCTTTGGTCACTCGTTCACTCTTCTTACACTCGTTTAGCACCATGCGTTCGTTCATTCCCCTTTCCGCACAGTCACTCATTACCGTGTTTCTTTCCTTGCATGTCTTGTTCGTACAATATGTCGACTCTCTTGCCAGTACAGACACCATTACGTGGGGCGGATCAAACGACAGAACCGGCTACCAGAACAATCACAACATGGATCCCGCAGTGGTTGGAAGCGCTCAATTTGGCCTCCTCTTCAAGACCAAGCTACCGGGAACGTATCCCATCAACGGCCAGAACGTTCCCGAGCAGATATTCTCCCAACCGCTGGTCTATACTGGCTCAGATGGCATCCAATATGTCTATGTTGCTACAACTCAGAACAATGTGTACAAAATAGTTGCAAACACCGGTGTTATTGTCGCATCTCGAAATCTTCATCGCCCATTTTTGGTCAGCGATCTGGACGGGTGTGTCGATATCAACCCGACTGTCGGTGTGACGGCAACAGGTGTCATCGATCCAGATACGGTGTGTCTCTCTTAGCCTCTGCTGATCTCAAATCCTAACCGCAAAACCAGGATACATGGTATATGACGTCCAAGACGTACATTGATCAGAGCCTGACAGGTGCAAACGGTCGCCCAAATGGTCGTTACTACGTTCACGCCATCAGCACTGTTGATCTCTCCGAGAGACCCAATTTCCCGGTCAACCTTGAGGGAATGGTGGCTCGAAACAACCCAGTTCGGTCATTCAATGGTGGCATTCATCATCAACGTCCTGGTCTGCTTCACACCGGTGACTATGTGTATGCCGGCTTTGCTAGCCATTGGTATGTATGATTCCGCTTCGCCCGTTGTCGGGACCAGAAGGAAAAGATCATTTGTCTTGTCGTTTTGCAACTGACATTTTCTGTCTCATTACAGTGTCCAATACAACTTCACCGGGTGGATTGTTGGCTGGCACAAGGGCACGGGACAGCTCGTGGAAAGATTTGCGACTGAAGGTGGTAAGTCATTACGGCGTCTGTATTGGCTCTGAAATTCTTGTATCTGATGATTCGCAGCTGGTGTTGGGCCTGACGTTCCTGGAGCGGGTGTGTGGATGTCCGGTGGCGGTCTTGCAAGCGATGACAAGGGCTCCATGTTCTTCGCTTCTGGCAATGGTTATGCTTCTCAGCTCAATGGAATACCGGTCAATGGGAGGAACCCACCAACATCACTCGAAGAAGCTGCCGTGCACATGGCAATCAATGACGACGGATCTCTGACCGTGGTCGACTTCTTCATGCCCTGGGAGAAAACCCAACTTGACGGTGCCGACAAAGGTAGGAACGGTCTCCTCGACCTGGAAACGAAGCTAACTCGGTGCAGATCTCGGTACTTCACCGTTGGAACTCCTCCCGAGTCAATTTTCCTGCGGCGACGTCAAACGCATTGGGGTGGTCACCGGAAAGAGTGGAAAAACCTATTGGCTCAATCTTGACAACCTCGGAGGCTATCAGAACGGACCGAACAAGCTGGACAACGTGATTCAAGTCTACCAGAACGAGAACTCGGTCTATGCTGGAGCTGGTGTCTACCCACTCGAAGGAGGCTACATCTATATCAACGTCATTCAGTATCAAACACACGTGTTCAAATTCTCCTGCAACGACGGCGTACCATATTTCAACAAAGTGGCCGATTCCCCCGAAAAGAATGCCTACATCCTCGGAGTGGGCCATGGCACTGTCACTTCGCTCAATGATCAGCCCGGGACTGGCTTGGTGTGGACGTCGGATGTCGAAGGATCCAATCTTCGGATCTACAACGCCATCCCGAATGCAAACGGTCTCTTGACGGAAATCAATTCGTTTGTCACACCAGGAACCACCAAGTTCACCAGACCTGTCTTCGGAAATGGTATTGTCTACCAGGGCACTACAGTTGGCTATCTGTATGCTTACGGAGCGCCTGTCAATCTACCTCTAAACTGTACCGCTCTTCAGTTTGGGACGGCAAATCTCAATACATCCACAGCGCCGATGACGGTGCGATGTACCGCCAACACTGCGGTAACAGTGACCGCTGCGAGCCTATTAGGAAATCCAAATTTTGCTACCGGCGGGTTGCCAAATTTCCCTCTCACGGTTGCTCAGGGACAACAGTTTTCGTTTCAGGCAACCTTCACCCCACAAACCGTTGGCCCGCTATCTTCATCGGTGATTCTCAATACAACCCAGCAAGCTGCCGGATTCAGCATCAATACTCCCGTCCAGCTGAAAGGGACTGGCCAGAGTCAGGCTGCTTTGCTGATGGTCACTCCCAACACTGTCAGCTGGAATGGTGTCATTACCGGACAGCAGGCAGGCGGCGTTAACCAGTCTGTGGTGATCACCAACCTTGGAAGTAGCCCTCTTTCCATCAGCAATATTCAGTATTCCATTGTGGGTGAGACTGGCCCCTGGATCTCCCCCAATGGCACTCGAACAGCAACCGTGGTCTCGGCGTTCACCTTCTACAATATGCCATCGTCAGTCCCTCCCAACAGTGCTCTGACTGTCCCGATCAATTTCAACCCTCCACGCTCCGGCAACTACGCCGCATTCGTTCAGATCGTCTCCAACGGTGGCACCAAAGTGCTTGATGTCCTTGCAGCCGGATCGGATCAGCCGCAAGCCGTACTCGAGTTCCAGAGCCTAGATGGAGGATGGATCCCGTTTGACAACACAACCTCCTTCACCTTCGGCAACGTTACGGAGAATACCAGCCGATACCTGAAAATGCGGTTGACCAACAACGGTTCCGCCAATGCAGCGGCCTTGTCAGTGACTGTTAGTAAGCCTCCTTTTGGTGTTGCTGGAAGTATCATTGGCGCCAATAACCAGGTCGATCTCGCCGAGGGCACCCTGGTCTATGCGGGACAAAATCTCACCGCGACGCTCTTCTGCTCGGTCCCAAAGAGTCAACTCAATGTGGACCCCTACAATGGCACTGCGCAATGGACCATGAATCTGAATGATCCGAACTTTGGGAAGCAGCACATCCAATTCTTCTGCAATGCTGTCTCGGAACAGGCACCTCCACTAGACCCAGTCACTCAGCAGGGTATTTACAGATATGGAGGCTGTTTCAAGGAGAACAATCCTGGTCGCCAACTTCAAACGGCCATCTACAGTGGCGCCAACAATACCAATGAACAGTGCATTTCTTTATGCGCAGCAGCAGGGTACATCTTCGCTGGCACACAATATGAGCAGGAGTGTTGGTGTGGCTACAACCGACCAAAGACAGTGGTCGACGATGCCAATTGCAACTTTGGTTGCACCGGCAACGTCAATGAGATCTGTGGCGGCAATGGCATTGATGGTGCTGGCTCATATATTTCCCTCTTTGGCGACATTACGCGTTGGAACGGCAATTCTACAGACGCTCCAGGTCCGTATGTCAACCCGGGCACACTCAATTACACCAGTTTGGGCTGCTACACCGAAGGTACCAACTCTCGAGCACTGAATGTGCAGCGCAATGCCAACAACACTGTGGCTTCTTGTCTCCAGGCGTGTCAAGGCTATTTGTACTCTGGAGTCGAATATGGCGGCCAGTGCTTCTGTGGGAATACATTGGCGGCAGGTTCTGTAAACGCAAGTGCAACAGACTGCGGCATGACCTGCAACAACAATCAGACAGAATACTGTGGAGGCCCGAGCCGTCTCAACATTTATATCTACGGCAATGGTACCCTTCCGAGCACGCCACCTTCAAATGGTGGTGGAAACAACAATCCTTCCACACCATCAGGTCCAACCATTCCGTCCACGATCGGCAATTTCACCTACCAGTCTTGCTACTCTGAGATCCCCGGCCGCGCGCTCAGTGCTTTTGCTCTTGCAGACAACAGCATTACCTTGCAAACATGTGCCAGCAACTGCACACAGTATCAGTATTTCGGTGTCGAATATGGCCGCGAATGCTACTGCGGGAACACCTTGGGCTCAGGTAGCGCTCCGGCAACCGACGGACGTTGCAACATGGCATGTTCAGGGAACTCTAGCTTCATTTGTGGAGGACCAAATGGGTTGACTCTGTACCGAAATCTGAACTGGACGACTTCTACTCCTCCACCGCCATCGAATCCGACAGGCCCAGTCATTGTCCCCAGTGTTGGTTCCTTCCAATACGTCGATTGCCACACCGAAGTAGCTGGTCGTGCTTTGACGGGCAAGGCTGTCGCCTCAAACGGCATGACGGTGCAATATTGTGCCGGAAACTGTACCGGCTTTACCTTTTTCGCCGTGGAGTATGGCCAGGAATGCTACTGTGGGAATAGCTTGAGTGCTGGCTCCGTTACAGCTACAGATGGACGATGTTCTATGACTTGTGCTGGCAATTCGTCAACCATTTGTGGTGGACCAAATGGACTAAGCCTCTACCAGTTCGTTGTGCCCTCAAGTTCTAGTTCGACATCAAGTGCAGCAAGGACTACCACACCAGGCACATCAACCCGAGCAACATCAACTCTGGTGACACCGCCAACGTCGTCCACCTCTGCGGTCATGTCTGTAACGTCGGCGTCGGGCGGAACGTCGGTCTCGAGTGTTATTCAATCCTCCACGACTAGTATTTTCAGCGTGACCGTCTCCACACCACCGGTGACCTCCTCTGTCACTTCAGTGCCTTCGACGACCACGTCAGCAACGCCGAGCTCAGCCTCATCGCTGACCACTGTTGGCTCTACGAGTTCTACAGCTTCCACATCGAGTGTGCCAAGTTCGAGCTCGATTACTTCTTCCACCACGATCCGAAGTAGCACTAGCTCTGTATCAGGAGTAACCTCGTCAGCAAGCACGAGTACAACGACTATTCTCTCTGGCACAACAACCACGTCCCAAACTGCTTCTAATACATCGCCGTTGACCACTTCTACAGGATTACCAACTTCATCATCAGGAACCAGCTCGGGGACTTTGATCTCGACAGGAGCGAGCACGAGCACATCCAGGTCCGTGCTGTCTTCGAGTGGTTCCGGCTTTACTACTAGCTTTCTGCCTGGATCTTCGGCGACGAGCAGTACTTCGGTCTTCTCGAGCTCAACTCCTACATCCACGAGTCAACCGGGGTCTTCCACTCTGACGACTGTCTCAACTCGCCTGACCACTTCCTCCACTTCATCTAGCACCAGCACACGCACATCTAGTGTGACCAGCTCGTCGTCTTCCGTGCCGTCGAATGCCTTCTTCCCTGCCATCTATCTTGGCTGTGCGCCCGAGCTCCCAAATGGACGACTCCTCTCAGTCGCCTCCACGTCAAACTCCGCAATGACAATACCCTCCTGCATTTCGTTCTGCACGGCGCAAAACTTGCCCCTTGCCGGCTTGGAATATTCGAGGGAATGCTACTGCGGGTACGGTCTGTCACCCTCCACAGTCGTCAATGCCACGGGATGTACCATGCCGTGCGCCGGCAATGCGCAGCAGATGTGTGGTGGACCCAGTCGCTTGAGTGTCTACAACAATACCTCGCTGTCCCCTCCCAGCGCTAAGGCGATCATTGCGGGCTACAGTTACCAGGGATGTTTTACAGATCCTTCCGCCGCCCAGCGCACTCTGCAAGGATACAGCACCTCCAATTCCACGTCCATGACGCAGGAGTTCTGTGTCTCGGCCTGCCAGACCAGAGGCTATAAATACGCTGGTGTCGAGTTTGGCAGGGAATGCTATTGCTCGAACCAACTTGGCACCGTGAGCAATGGGGGTAAAGGGGCGTCGGCACCAGAGGGTGATTGCTCCATGTTGTGCACGGGCGATGGTAACGAGTTTTGTGGCGGGAGTGCGAGAATTGGCGTTTGGTTGAGCGGTGTGTGACATGGCTTTTTTTTCTTTCTCTCTTTTACAAATCGACTTGGTTCTTCTCTTGTTTTGGAGCAGACACTTTCTGTGTGTTGTTCCCTCTTGTGTGTGTGTGAGTGTGTGAGTATGGATAAAGAAAATATAGCATTGTCGTTCTTGCCATTTGGAGTGTTCTGAATACATTATTACTGTCACTTATGAAACAGGTCTTTCATCATCTCTACTTTTGTTGGTGTCATGTGTCATGGGCAGAGGTTTCTGTGGTAGGAGAAGAGAGCAGCGACGTTACGCACACAAAGTTTGGGGGGTGAGGTGTGAACACGTCGGCGAACGAGCCATCTTGTTGAGACAAGACTCAAGAAGAAGAAACACGACAAGATCAGAGAAGGCGAAGAGAAGAAGAATGCGGAGGGGAAAAAGGTAAGAAAAGACGAAGAGTTCAGGGAGGAAAGCCCACTGGCCTTGACGTTTCATTCGCATACCATTTCTTCGTCTTGTGGCTGATCATGTCGACGTACAGGTACCGCTGCGCGACGGCCTCGATCTCAGACCACGTCGACAGGTGCATCTCGTTAGTGGCGAGCTGTGTGAACCGCGGGCCGTGGTAATTGCATTCGCTCTCGCACCCGCACTCGCACCCGAGATTCCCGTCGCGTTCGGCGGTGGCGGTGGTGGTGGTGACAGCTGGACGGCGGTCCTGTTTCTGGCTCTTGCCCTGCTTCTGTCTCCACCTCTGACTCTGCGAGCGGACGTTACACTCGGCGACAGTCCCCACGTACAGACACCACAGCCTATCCTCGGCGGTCCGCACCTGCGTTTCGGCCGGAGACAGGGCAGAGGATGCTTCCATCCGGAGGATCCTGGCGTCGAGGTCGCGCAGGGTGGTCGAGACGATGCGGCTCATGTCAAAAGCCCACGACCCGGCCTCCTCGAGCTTGGAGCCCGCGTCCATGCGCTCGTGCGCGGCCCGACGCACCCAGTACAACGCGGCGAGGCTGAGGCAGGCCTCGGCCAGTGCGGCGGGCGAGTGGCCGAGTTCCCAGTCTTGCATGCAGTCGAGGTAGTTGTTGAGCAGGCAGCCCTCGAGGACCATGATCCTCATGGCGCCATTGATCAGGATCGCCAGGTTGAACAGGTCGCGGTTGAGCATGATCATGCCCAGGGCGTCGAGCCACTCACGAACACCCACGAAGACGGCGCGCAGGGTCGGGGATAACGAAGGGGACAGGTTCGCGGTAGAGAAGGGGAATGCCGATGGGTGACAGACACCATCCCCCCCTTCTCTGTTCAGGTCGTCGGTGATCCTGGCCGGGAGGTTTTCTTCGGCCCAGCGGAGCAGGTCGAACGACGGCCTCGTCAGGGAAAGGCACGCCCGCGTAATGTCCTGCTGCAAGACGACCATCAAGAGCCGTCGCTCGCCGTCAAAGGTCCGTCCGCCGTCGGGCTGGAGAAGGCGCCGCAGCATCAGCCCATGGACCCCGGCGCCCTGGAGGTTCCCGGCGGCGATCTCGGCACAAAACAGCGCATAAACGCTCCACACGTCGGGCTGCGCGTCTGGCCGGCTCCTCTTCGCCATGGATTTTCTCAGATTGTTCGTCGCTTTGCCGAGGTACTGCAACGCCATGACGACGCTCGAGCGACTGTGGGCCGTGAGGGTCGACAGGATCGCCGCGGACCGCGCGAGGTACGCGTAGCCGGCCACGCCGCCGTCGTCGAGTGCGCGCACGCTGTCCATCCAGAACCGATCGATGTGGTGTCGCCCGCCCACGACGGACGCCTCGTTGGCGTGGATGGCAGGCAGGATAAAGTCCCGCGTGAAGACCAGGAGACGGTGGACTTCGGGCGTGACGGCGATAGTTTGGGACGCGAAGGGATCAGAGTTTCCCGCCAGGATCACGGGAGTGAGGAGGCCGCTCTCATATCCACTGTCGTAGTCCTCGGTCCGCGGGGCTGTTCCCGTCGAAGACGGTTGTTGCTGGTGCTGTTGTTTCTGTACCTGTCTTTTCTCGTTCTCGACACGACCGCCAGCGCCACCGCTTCGTCCTTTGTTCTTCAGTGCCTCGTCCTTCTCCCGCCGCCGTTGATGTGCCTGTCGCGCAACGTGTGCGTTGATGGTCGATCTGTTGAGAACGTTCGACCCCTGATATCCATCGAAGACGAAGGTCACCGGCCTGTCGGAACCTCTACCCATGACGGCACGTTTTCCTTTGCCAGTCCCAGTCCCAGTCCGTATCTTACCCCCAGTCTTGCTAATAGGTAAGCCTCAATCAACGTCTCCACCGCCCATGGTACCCAGCAGGAGGAAAAGAGAAAAAGTAATCACTAAGTGAAACCCTCCGTATTCGTTGCCTTCCCTTTTGTCCGATCGAGCAGGAGATACAAGTTACATTAATAATGCACCTCGGGATCAGAGATCTATCTTACCGAGTTACACCGTGTGTGACCGGACTAGCACACCACGGGGTAGGTACATACCATCTCGATCGTCCTCGTCTGGGGATGTCTTCTTGGACGCGAGTTGGCTCGATGAGGCCTAAGCCGGGTGGAGAATTCCAGGCACCCACGGACGTGGGGGGTGATTGGCTTATGTAAAGGTTACCCAGACACCCAGATTCATGCAAACCCAGCATGCTTAGTCATTTTAGTCAATGTCAATGAATAGGAAGGTGGTTCCACCTTTTTCTATCGCCAGCCATTACCGGATTAGGACGAAAGGGGAGTAATAATAATAATATTAATACTCACCACCAGGAAGGGGGTTTGCTTTCCCCCCACCCTCCCAGACGACGAAGACGCACTTTTCTTGAGATCAAGTTCTCGTACGAGTACGAGTTTGCGAGGTGCAAGTAAGCTGCAAGGCACGCACGAAATAAGTACGCAGGCAGGCAGGCAGGCAGGCAGGGCATGCAGCTGGGGGAATCCCGCTCCTGTGTATGTGTCATACGTAGGGAGCACCGAGGACAAACAAGTAATTTTCATCGGAGCCGAGACGTAGTCGCGTTCAGGTCCAGGTACCTCGTACATAGATCCAGGCGCGCGCGCGCGCTGACATTCCGGGATTTCCTTACGGGCCAAGTATAATAAATATATCAGAGTGCATACCCGCCCACGCCCTATATTGAAGAGCTTACTCGATCGACCGATTTGGCACATCTCTCCTTGACGAGACTTGACGAGAGTGAAATCCCATTCGAAACAGCTCTTGTTCGACGTATACACACAGACACACGACAGGAACCCCCCCCCCCCCCCCAAAAAATGCCTTCTTCTGGCGGCTGCCTCTACGGCAAGATCAGGTACTCGTACGAAGGGGAGCCATTGAAGATTGTGAGACCCTCCCGTCCACCAGTCCCATGGGTTTTTTAGACAAATGAGATCAACATGATGACTTAGCGCCACCACGCAAAAGATCACCTGCCACTGCGGGCAGTGCCACAAGGCGACGTCGAGCGCGTTCAGCACGGGCGTCTTCCTCCTCGACGCGCAGTTCACGCTCCTCTCAGACCCGACGGTGGTCCAGACGTACCCGTACCCGCAGACGTCGGACGCGTCGATCCAGACGCTGCACTTCTGCCCCGTCTGCAGCACCGTCGTGTGGAGGACCGGAGCCGCAGACAAGTACGCCGGCGTGTTGAGCGTGCAGTTCGGCACGCTCGACGACCCGGGCGTGAGGGACCGGCTGAGGCCGAGCGTCGAGCACTACGTGAGTATGCGGACGGAGTGGGTTTCAAAAATCCAGAGCGCGGAGCAGGAGGAAGGGGCCTGAAAATGGAATGGGATTGGATTGGATTGGGGATGGAGAGGAGTAGGAGGAAGAAGAGAGGGGTGTAAAGGCGTGGTCCAGGATAGATAGCACCGAGCGAGGACTCTTGTCTCCTCGGTACTTTGTGTGTACGAGTACCTCGTACACTTTGACGAATGAGACGTTGGGTCGAGATTTGAGATTGACGCCTCGAGGGAGATTGAGAACCGAGCATCTAGATCGACAACAGCAGCGCCTTGGATTCGACCAGCGGCCGGCGTGTTGCCCCGAAGGACACAACGTGATATGTATCTGCTGACTGCTGCGGCCAACCGCCGCTACTTCTGACAAGTATGTACAGCTTCTCGATCGCTGACCGCCTTTGAAACTCGGGGCAAGATGCGCGCGATGAATCATCAAGGCACAAAAGCTAGCTACGACAAGATTGGACAGATTAGCGTGGTGGTTGAACCGAGATTAAGGCCGCGATACAAGTAACTGGCTGGCCGTCCCGTGGGCAAGCAACATCAAGGCTCGAGGAATATTCTTCTGGAACCCGGGCTGACAAACTCTCCAACTGGGTGACAACCAGTCCACTATCCCACCGAATTATCCACCTCACTGGATTTGTCCTCTTGTGGTCCGAGTGTTGAAAAAGGGCCCCTTTTCCGTGCTTACAACTCATTCCATCTTTTCCACAGATTCTTCGACATGGGTCACTGCGGGCTTCTTGTCCAAGAAAGCCCCGGTGTTGACTTGAACGTCGTGCAAGGCCTTCTCTTGAATCTCGGTCTGATAGCTCTTGAACTTGAAGACACCGACCCGCTTCTCGAAAAGCTCGTCAATCTCCTCCAATGTTCTCCCTTTCAACTGTTCTCGGTCAGCCGAAGCCGTCTTCTCGCCGCGGCGGTGCGTGTGTGTCTCTTACCTCTGGGATGCAAAAGAAGTAGAACAATGCACACACAATGTTGCTGCCGAACCAGATGTAGCCGTAGCGAGGGCCCTTGACATGATCAGTGAACGAGATCGAGGATTGAAGATTCGACAGTGCCTCACCCAGTTCAGATCGGTCGGGTTGATGAAATATGGCGTGCAGAAACTGGTGAGCCACGCAAAAACGTATTGAATCGAGGTTGCCGACCCCACGGTCCAAGCACGGAGTCGGGAGCTCACCAACTCTGTGGCCACGGGATACGTCGCGGCGCCGACACATCCTGAAAGAGTCAGTAACAGCAGCAGTCCACGCGGCGGATGCGGGCGCCCCAAACCATTATAGAAGAACCCCCAAATGGCGACCATCGCCACCGTGACTTTGCCAGTCTCAATGGTAAAAGGTGAGACGCTCTGCGCGATCGCCATTCCCAGGAAGCAGAGACTTGTCACGACCGACCCGAAGATGCAAATGAATCTTCTCCCAACCAGGTGGCGCATGGCGTACATACCGCAGTTGACGCCGACAAACCCAATGCAGGTGATCATGATGGAATACTGGAAAGCTTGCTTGATGCCGGCAATTTGGAAGAAATATGTTTGATAGGCAATGGGGAACCAAGAGCCGCTCCCTGCTTGAGTCAGAATGGTACCCCAGCACAATAGTGTCCGTCGCAAATCGGCACCTGAGAGTCTCAGAAGTCAGCTACACAAGCCATACGCGAGACATGCCCGAGGCACTCACCGCGGAACATATCCAACAGTCCAACAGACTTTGCGATCCGTCTCTCTTCCTCGACGCCGCGAATGATTTCCGCCCATTCGAGTTCGAAATACTCGGGAGCCAGCGAGTCTGCTCGCAGCTTCTCCAAGGCCTTTCGAGCCTGGCTTTCCTTGTTATGGTGCAACAACCATCGAGGGGTTTCCGGGACGAAGAACAGTCCAATGCCCAGAAGGACAGGCACAATATAAAGGCTGCCGATCGGAATCTGATACGAGCCCTTGTCCAGACGGTCCTTGGTATAGTTATCCACAATGGTCCCCAGGATCGCACCGATATTGACCCAATACGCAAAGAGCGCCACCATCACTCCTCTGAGATGAGCCGGGGCAATTTCCGCCGTGTAGATGTTCGAGAACGTGACCAGAAAGCCATTTGAGAATCCGAGGACGATTCGACCAAGATATATCACTCCCTTGTTTGTGGTGCCAATTTGAATGGCTAATCCAATGCAGTTCAGAATACAGGCCAACCAAAGCGCTGTTTTGCGGCCGTAGAAGGCCCCGAAGGCCCCCGCGAGGATCGACGAGAGAAAGGCACCGAGCGTCAAGAGGGAGCCGATCAGTTGTTGAAAGGTACTGTCAATCCCATAGCCACCCGGGCTGTTAGGGTCGGGAAAGCCAAATACTTTCAGAAAGCCAGGCATGGCCTGAAGGGCACCGATTGCAGCACTGTCGAAACCTTGACATTTCCACGTCAGTCACCCGTCGCTCCCTGGAGTCAGCGTCTGATCTGGTGACAACTAACCATACTGGGTGTTGGCAGTCGCGACAATGCACGCAATCATCAAGCATTTGCGGTTGGCCCAAAGGGACGTCACCGGCACGGTGATTTGACTGGTATGTGGAACTTCCGACATCGCGGTACTGTTTGATGACCGCCGAAAGATGCACTCTCTCCTGTTGTCAGCAATTGTTCATGTGGAGGTTTGCCCAGGCTCATATATCCTGTTGTTCACTCCACAGATTCCAACTAACCTGGGGTACCCTCCACAAAGCCAGCAGGGCAAATACGACGTCAGATCAAAAAGTGCAACAGGGATGGTTTCGTGCCCTTCCGGGGTTCAACGTCCACATGTGGAGCATATCGAGCTTCCTTTGATCAACCCCTCAGTTATCTCAGCCAGGGTCGAGCTCGACATCCGGATGAAAAGGGTAATTGGACTGGTCGGTGGCCGTATGCAGTATTGTTCCTTCGTCGACACAAGTCAACTCCGCATGGTGGGGAGGATAGACATCCAACCTCGTTCTTGAGCCGAAAGGGTCAGTTGTGAGTATGTGTGCTAGTCCCGAAATGCCTCAGAATGTGGGATTTCGTCCTCATCGATACGTTCGGAAGTTAGTGCCATACAGAAAATGTGACGAGGGAGTGGGAGTAGCGATAACCACCCAGTCTTCCAAGCCATTGAAGACAGACTCTTGCGTATGGTATAGAGGTCATGGCTTGGCTTCTGTCGTCGGCCCCGATCTCACAATTCTTGACATTCCCGTTGTTGACCAAAGGAGCGTTTCACCTTTCTGACCTTCCACACGACTACTTCATCCTGGTCTCGACAACGATGAGTCTGCCCCACATGCGGAACCACAACAAGGACAACAGGATAACTGCCGCCTTGGTTGTTTCGCGCTGGAGTCATCTGGCCCGGGGATTCGCCGCTGCAAGAGGGACTGTGGCAGGATTGATGGTCGTTGGTGAAAGCTGCACTGGCGTTGATGACCATGCCAAAATCAGACAAGCCTCCTGTCCGTTGACGAACCAGAGAGAAGGATACTTCCCGAGATCCTCAGTGTAGGTCAGTTGAGCGATGTTCTGACCGACTCTGTGATAAGTCGACGAGGGCCACACCTCCACAATCCCACCTGTCCACCAGTTGAGCACATAGAAATACAATGAGACCAGTGCAGAACTTGAATCAAATTCGCGGTCGCTTATCCTAGGGACCACATGGCAAGATGTCGCCGATACGGATATCTAGATCGAGAGTGGGCGATTGGATCCCAAAGACTTTTTCAATTCTCGCAGCATCCAAAAAAACATGCACAGGAGTGACGGGACTGGAGTGCAAAAGCAGTCCTTAGCACTCTGCTATCAGTCTGAGAAATGCCGCGCAATATCTTGGTCAGGTTCCAGGAGGCTTCAAATCACTTCAATCGTCAAGGTAGATAGTCGAGGTTGAACAAACCTCCACCCTGTTGAAACCCCAAGAAGCTGGGCATATCCATCATCTGGAATCCATTGACATCCTGATCTGAAACGTTCAGTTCCGAAAACTGATTCACGTTACTCCACGTGTCTCCGAAATAGTTGGCAGAGAAGTTGAAATGCTGTGCCTCAAGGAATTCAGCGGTGGTGGCATTTCCAAAGGGCGAGGGAATAGTCCTCTCGTCGCCCCCGCTGCCACCCTGCAAAGCATACTGCACGACAGGTGGAGGAGGCAAGTGATCCTGCAGGCCTTCCCGCATCGCACCTTGATGGAGAGAGGTCGGGAGCGGCCCACCCTCGACATCTCCGCTCGACATCGTGGTGTATGGGGTGTCTGGAGGTGCTCTCGTAGATAGTTGACATATTGACGCATGATTTTTGATTTGTTGGCTGGACACGAAAGAATGCCCCCCTGTCGACATTAACCGACCAAAATGTGTTTGGACGGGTAATCCGGTACTCATTTGATCGATGGCCACCTCCGTCAAGCCTGGACGATTCATACCGAAGTTCACAGAAGAAGAGTTGACATCAGCCGAACTCTCTGTAGTCATCAGTCCACTGTCCCGTGGCCCTTGGCACTTTAGACGTTCTCGAGTCTCTGCAAATTCTACAGGGAGTAGCGAAATCATAGTCTTCCGAGATGTTAGCCCCCGAATTGTGACCTAGAGACGGAAAGCCATCCCACTCACCTCCAGAATGATTTGCGCTCGTTCAGCAGTGTTGTTGCACTTTGCGAGAAGAGCAATAGCTTTTCGGCCGATCGATATATCCTTGAAAGACTGTTCTCTCCCTTCCCAGTCGTGGGAATCGAGAATGATGAACATGAGTGTCACGACAGATCCGAAGATCATGTGCAAGACCGTAAAACATCCACCCCGGAGGAGATCTTGATTGTACATTTCGTCGCTGAGGCTCAGAATAGTGTGACACGCTTGCACACAGGCGGCTGCGTACGGAGGAAAAGTAAGATCGGGCGATGATGCATTTTGAGTAGTGGCTTTGGAGAGATAATGGAGGAAAGGCCTGTAGAGGTAGAGTTGAACGTGGGCATGCGACATACGGAGTAGATATTGCGTCCTAGAGTAAGCCAAGTTAGCCAATCCTGGGCTTCGTCGCGTGCAGAGAGGGGATGTTTACCGGAGCAAAGGTCTGGAAACCACATGGGCCTTCAGACGGAATCCGAACGGCAGATTCTCTATCCATCTTTTCAGAGCCCTCTCGATATCTTTGACCTTCTCAACGCGGACCAGATATGTTGCAGCCTGTGTTCCGTGCGTCCTGACGACTCCTCGAGGCGGATATATATCCCTGACAACCTGCTCCAAGATCTTGTAAAGGGCGATGATTGCATTCAAGCCCGCTATCGAACACACTTCCCCCGGAGGCTGGGGCGAAATACATGTTTTGGTGATGTATTCATCGTTAACTTCCATCGGCAAATCTTGGTCGACATTCTCGTCGCTTAAGAGCTTGGGCATGCCACATGCCGTTGCAAAGTAGCTTCCGAGGAGTCTCAGGACCCAGAATATTCTCTTGCCTACTTCTCGTTCGATTAGATCGTCGTGTTTAGACTTTGAACGATGGAGACCCATGCGGAGGGCAAGTGTCAGTGCATGGGTCACGTATGAGTAACAGGTACCAACACGAGCGTTGCAGACAGTGAAAAGGATGAGGAATATCATTGTTTGGAGTGATTGTTCATCCGTACCGTCGCCAACATCAACAAAGGCACGGCTGGCCGCGAAGTACTGTAGTCTGCCTGAAAATTAGCTTCACAAGAAGTTGTACTTGACGATGTGGCGAACTTACCCCTCGGCGATCTCGTGCTCGCGAGAGGCATGCGCAGAGTCAACCTGAATGAACATACACCCTAGGGCAAGGGCTGCATAGAGAAGAGAGAGGAATCGTAGCTGCTCGATCGTGAAATCATTGGGTGTCGTCGCGTAAATGGATTCAAGGGAACGATCGAAGCTCGGCCGGTGTAGGATGGGAAAAAGAGAATATGACTCCACCGCGGCATCTACCAAGGCACGAGCCCTCTCTCTGGGAGGAAGGCAGGCGGTTGCGGCAAGAGGGTAATCACACTCAAATAGTTTTGCACATGGCCTCCTTGGAGGACGAATTCGTGAACGAACATTGTCGCCTGGCCAATCTTTGATCCTTTCTCTCATCCGTTGGATGAACGCTCGGTCTCCCGAGTATCCCTGAAATCCGTCCTCGGCTTCCTCGGTTGCGTGTCGCGTGAGAATGAATCTTGGAGCAGTCCAGGAGATGTCTTCGTCATGGTCCTCTGGAGAGTGCTCAGAAGAATAGGACAAGCTCGACTGACCGGCCAATTGGCGCTCTGGAGAGGGTGGCATGCGCATCGGATCTGCAGGTTGTGTGAGGTTCTTGATACATGATTCTAGAACCTCGATCCTAGTCTTGAGAGACTCGACCTGCTCAGTGGTACGAAGGTATCTTCTCTTCCTCCGACGCGGTTCTGGGTAGATACAGTCTAGAGCAGTCAGTGATCGTCGCGGGCCAACAATACTGTGTCGTCTCTGGCTGACCTTGAAAGGAGATTGCACAGTGTCTGCAGGGATGCTTTCTGTCACATCTAACCTTCCGTTCTCGACAGGAACTGCAGGCCCTTGAGATAGGTTGAAGGTTTTGTACCTCGCGCTTCTTCGTGTTCAGCTCGAGAGCCACGTCGTGCGACTGTTCCGAATCGCCGTCGGTGAGGTTATTGCGACCAACATCTATGTCATCCCGAGAGACGTTTCCAGTCCCATTATTCGAGGGTCCAGGATCCTGGTATGAGGAGGACTGCATAACGCGTCGAATGATTGTTCATTGATCTTCGTCCTGTTCACCATATATGCTGTGAGAATGGTGAGAACATGCGAAGGGTGCTGGCAGTCACAGGAGGGATTGAACATGGGAGTGATTGTGTTGTCAAATGATTGTCTGGGGCCGGCAGCTCATCTCGTATGGCGCAAGGTGTGAGCATGGAATTATTTGATTGAATACTGATTGATGGATCAGTGGTGCAGGATATATGTATGAGGGAGTCGCGTGGTCACTGGGTGGGAGAAAAGAGGAGATGCGAAGTATCACACGCATTCAACAAACAGGTGACTTCATGAGTTGCCTCGAGCAGGTACTTTTTAGGGGCTCCTGCAGCCTAAAAATTACGCCCGCTAAGTCCGGGGGCTGTTGATGGGTGCCACTCAAGCACGAATACTGCTTATTTCCGCACTGCACGGGGGTATCCAATGACATTCTATGTAACCTCCAAAACGCCCGAGAAACCTGCCTTTGCAGATACACCGCGAACCCAATCGCTCCAACCGATATATTACCAATGTATCCATCTATCTCCACGCCACACATTGCAGATATCATCCGTCGCGGTCGACAACTAGTAGCCCTGTCACCCCTGCTATTCTAATTTTACAGGATAACGTTCTCTCAGAAACCCGCCATATCGGTGTAGGAGAACTGGTGCTGGGATCAAAGCGAGCGTAACAAATCCCAGCAGAGAATTTCCCCACTGTATTCGATGTCAGCACACTCGTTGGGCCTTGAATAAGAGTCAATCTGTAAAGAGACTTACTCCGTATCCTAGACGCTGGTATAGCGAAGGGCCCGCAAGTGGAAGAAATGCGCCGAAGAAAGATCTCGTCACGGTCACCGAGGCTATCCCGGACGCTGCATACTGAGAATATGAGTCGATAATGTACGTTTGGATGGACGTGAATATCCCAATCATTCCAAAGCCGAATGGCAACAGCCCAATGATAGGGACAATCCAGTGTACTTTTGCTTGAATTGACCATCCGTACCAAAAGAAGGATATGGGTACGAAGAAAGCAAAAAACAGACACATTGTCAATCGCATCTCGGGCTGGTATTCTCCGTTGTTGGCGTTGGAAAGGCGGACTATAATCTTGTCGCTTGTGAGACCAAATAGAGCCTGTCCGCAAAGCAGACCGAGTCCTAGGCCAATGTAGGCGAGACCTGTCAAGTCTGGAGTCCAGTGATACGCTTCCTCAAAGACAGTGGTAACTGTCGTGAAGAGCAAGTAGAGGCAGCCGTATATCAGTGCAACGTAGATCGCCAATAGTCCAACAATTGGAGACAAGAATAGCAGTCTCAGAGGCCTTATCAAGCTGCGACCAAGGAGAACCTTTGCGGAGCGTTTGCCCAAGACTTTATCATAGCAACTTGTCAGATCGTCACGGTTCAACTCTCGGGCAAGTCGACGGGTCTTGTACCGGATGAGGACAGTGTGATTAGTCTCGCGATAGAAAACGAGAATGAACCCAGTGCAAGTACCTGCAACGATCAAGAGAGTCCAAAAGACCTGCAAGGGGCGCACAAATTAGAATCATCCACAGATTTCTGATCAGAGAACTTTACCCATCTCCATCCTGCGCCTTGCGCTATGAAGCCTCCACAAATAGGACCGAGGACGGGGCCGAAGAGTGGCCCAGCGGTAAAGATGGACATGGCCAGGCCACGCTGTTCCTTCTCGAACATGTCCGCTATCGTGCCACCGCCAATAGTCAAGCAAGCAGACCCACCCATGCCCGTGAGCAATCGGAAGACGATCAGTGATGAGATATTGGGAGCCAGAGCGCAGCCAATCTGCCACACCACGAAATGAAGCGATGCTATATTCAAGACGATGCGTCGACCATATATCTCACTGAGAGGTGAGAGAAAGAGTGGGCCAATCTATAGAGAGAATTGTCAGACATAGAGGGAAACAGGAGGCATTCGGATTGGAGAACGATACCGCGTAGCCAAGGACGTATGCTGAGACAACGAAAGTGCTCAGGATGGTTGAAGTGTTGTTGAAGTCGACATCGGCAAATCGAACGGCAGGTGCGAAAACCGAAGACGCAAACGGACTGTAAACTTTGAGCATTCAATCAGAGGCGCAAGTCATTCTGAACTTCTATGCTCACCTGATCAATGTCATTGAGCTCACGAGAGCTAGAACGGTCCATTTTCGCAATGGGGTGTAATTCCGTGGATTCTCTGGATCATCTTGCCCTTCCCATCCGACGATACCTTGATCAAGGTCCTGCTCCGGGAGCACATCCCTTTTCAATAAGTGTTCTTTTCGTCGGTCTCCTGATTTTTCGGAAGGCCCGTCCTGTGATGCTGCCTCGTCCTTGGGCAGATTCAGTTGGTTAGGTTTTTGCAGGGTTCCTTGCTGTGAGTTGAAGGCATTCGGGGCCTCGATGTCCCCGTTATTTTGATCCCTCGCTTTGGTTGAAGCCATGATTCTTGTGCCCGAGAAAGAGTATCAGGTCTGCTGGATAATGATATAGTGATCGCCAACACATCAGCATATTGGAACCAATCCTTTCTTGCCTTAGCATGAAGCTTTTATAAACATAAAAAAAAAAAGAAGGCATCATCCTTAAAATGACGCTTAGGCAATGTTGTAGATTGAGGAGTCGCAATGAGGCCAGCAGTCTACTCGGTGCAATGCTGTCGGTCTCCATGTACTCTGCAATCCACGAGAAGAGGTGCTCTCGGGCCTTCCATCACCATTTCTCCGTGATTCGGGTTAGCGTAGTCTAGAAAAGGTGGGCCTGTGGAATAGCGCCCCACAAGCAAGACCAATCAAGCCTCGACTCCCTTCTGGGGCAAAACCTTGACAAGTCTACAGCCACCATGTTGAAGCACACGACCCGCCGTATGAGTAGAAACAACTCAGTGTTCGACAATCAGGTCTCACTGTAAGATGAGAGCTTTAACCTAGATCACGGCCCGGATCTCCCTGCGCACCGACTCCTTGCCAGGAGGAATTACATCGATGGCTATATTATCGGGTGGGATCCACCAGATCAGGGGAGAATTGGATCTGTAATCTTCGATGCTTGGATACGAGTCACTTTCCGATCTCAAAGTCCGTGAAATATGGATGGAGATATCGGAGACAGGCGTGGTGGTTTGCATCACTGCAGTCACCGCACCTCCACACAGCTCCGTCTCAAAATCCACAGTTGCAAAATGCCTTTTAAGCTGACCATGTGCTGGAGAATATTCTCGACCAGAGGGTCAGCTGCTTGCAAAGGCAATCATATCCATTTAGAACACTATCAGTCCTCAATTGACCTCTCCCCGTCCAGACAGGGCCCAAGATGACCTCCAACAGACCGGATACCTGCTGTTACAAAGGTTTCAAGCATGAAGGCGAAGCAACGGGACAAATGGAACAATGGGGCGATTTTGAGGTCTACGTGAAATACCCCGAGAACAAGTCGACGGAGAGAGCAATTCTCTTGTAAGTTTACTGTCGACTTTCGAAGCTGCCTGTCCAGCCCAGCCCAGCCCATCCTATCCAGGCAACAATGTCGCCCTCTCACTGACGTGCAATCGCCAATTCAATACAGCTTGACCGATGTAATCGGCCACCGCTCCATCAACTCTCAGCTCTTGGCCGACCAATTCGCGGCCAACGGATATTTTGTCGTGATGCCTGACCTCTTCTACGGCGATGCAATCGAGTTGAACCAACTCGGCGAGCTCGATATTCCCAAGTGGTTCGGAGGTGGATACAGTGCCCGAGGCATCGGACACGACGCGTCCACCGTCGACCCGATTGTCGAGACATGCTTGTCTCAGATGCGGCTCAAGCACCACTGCAAAGTATGTGAGAAACCAAGTCTGTTGGGCGAGAATACAAAAATCTTTCCACTTCTGCAGGATCTCTGACCGAGAGCGACAGAAAATCGGCGCTGTGGGCTACTGTTTCGGGGCGAAATACGTCGTCCGCTTCCTGCGGCCAGACCAAGCGAAGATCGACGTCGGTTACGGCGCACACCCAAGCCAGATCGCAAGGGACGAGCTGCAAGCTATCAAAGGACCCTTCGCCATCGCCGCGGCGGCCCACGATCACGTCTTCCCGCCCGAGAAGCGCCATGAAAGTGAGCAGATTTTGGAATCCTCAGGCCTGCCCTACCAGATAAACTTGTACGGCGGGGTTGCACACGGGTGAGTTTTTTTTTTTCTTTGTAATTTGAGTCTAGAGCACACACACACACACACACACACACACACACACACACACACACAAACACCGGGCAAGCTAACGAGTTTGGGGCCGTTTCACCTTCCAGATTCGCGGTGCGTGGAGATCTCAAGGACCGCGTGCAGTTGTACGCAAAGGAAGCATCTTTCTTACAGGCTTTGCAATGGTTTGAGGAGTATCTAGAGAAGTGAAAAGGAATAGATAGGTAACCTCAGTCACTGCCTTTCCGTCCCAAGAGGAGCCGATTTGACGCCCGCTAGATTACATCCTTTGCCCTTGGTCTCGACAAAGCATCGGATACATGAATGATTGCTATGTCTGCCTCTCTCAAGGGCCATGTTGGACTGTTCCTCCTTCAATAGTATGGTCGTTGAATTAGCACTTTCAGAAGACAGCATCTGCGTGCGAGCCCGTTTTCCACGGATGTTCATCCTCTGGCCACTTCTGGTTGCCCCTATCTGAGGCTCAAACCCTCGGCCTTCTTGATTCATATCAAATTGTGCTGATGCAATCCTACCAACGCGACCAAACCCACACAACCTCATGATCGAGCCACATAGAGTAAATCCTAATGCGAATCGACGAGTATCCTAAATGATTAGTACCTCTCGAACGTATCTCGCCAGGTCAAGCCATGTTTCAGTGGCCGTGTCCAAGGCTGGGTCACTCTTCAGCTCTCTAGGGACAAGAATTTACGACCAGTGAGATAGAGGAAGTTCATTTACCGTCGGGTTCTCCACAAAGCACATACCTGTCCCTCGTTCAGCCGTAGAGCCTACCGCGGGCTTATCTAGTCGTGTCAATAGTCTTCGTATTGTATTTGACACCGAAGCGAGATCTTTTGCGAAATTCAGGAAATCGAGAACTCGCCCAGAAAACCACTTCAGCACCTCCTTTTTTTCAGCCCCTCTCGGCCAACCCTTCCAGGTTGTTTTCACACGATACAACGGAACGTCGCCTTCTTGGCATTTTGAGAACACAGCTGCGGCATTCTCTTCCAGACGAGGGATTGTCTCGAAAAACGCTTTATAGAAGCCGGGTACGCTAATACATAGAGGCCCCAGGTCTTGTTTCAGTAAATCATCCATGTATTGTCTCTGCTCGGACGAGTCGACGACGCCGCTAGTGTTGTGCATGTAAGCGTTTTATATGAGATGCATCTGCGGCAAAATGTAGTGAAATCAAGGTAGACCTGGCTGATGCTATTAACGAATAGTGGTGTGAAACTGACGTCCTCGTACCCAGTGACGTATCGGTTGATTCGCAGTTCACGCTGTATTGGGTGTGGCAGTGGCCAACGAGCCCGGATACACTAGCACGACCAAAGCACAAATTTAGTCTCGATTGAACTCAACATCTATCCAAAGCGGTCGTGATTGAAACTATCAGAACTGGGTCGGCGACGCCCTCAAGGCCGTCTCTGACAAACCTTTCCGAAGCCTTTTCCAAGAGTTTGACGTAGTCGTCTTGGCAAAAGGCTATTCCTCATTCGCACGTGACTGTTACGGCTCGTCCCAGGCGACCACCAATAACTGTCGAGACCCAATTTTGGGCCTTTTGGAATCGAAATCGTGTCACACGCTGCGGTCTGTTCATATACAGACGAAAGGTCAAAGGTCCCAGATCCTGAAGTGGTGATTCAACACCATCGAGAGGGAGGAGAGAGTGGGTATGGATACACAATCAGACTAAGAGCGGGAAATCCCGTCGACCGAGCCCTCCACCCCAAAGGAGGCCTTCTCGATTGAATCCTTGATACAGAGGGTGGAGGGGTTTGAGCGCAGGGACTATCTGGAAAAGCTCGACAGGCTCACGCGCGACAATCTTAATCAGCAACGAGATGTTCTGCGCTATCAAAGAGAGTGGTGCGCATTGCTGGATCTACATTAACACGTGAATGAGGCTCTGGTGAGACTACAGAATGCCCTGGCCAAATGCTTTCAGGAGCAATTAGATGCTGAACGATACCAGCTTGCATCCTGGGGATCCGAAGATGAAACCGCTGGAGGTGCGGGATATAATCCAACCGGATGGGTCTAGCACAGTCATCAGCACCTCCACCGCCGAATGTGAACTGTGGTAAATTGACCGAGCAGGCGAGACGGTCAAGGCTAGGCGCCCTGCAAATTTGACTCGCCGATGCGACTGTGATAGTGTAACGAAGAACATTGTTTACTAAGAGAGGCAGGAAAACCCGAACCCAGAGTCTTCCAGGCATATTTTGGTAATATTAAGTAGTTTCGGTGCCCAAGACGTATACAAGTCGTGCTAAGACCGGGTTTTCCTTGCGAGGTTTCGAAAAATACTGTAGATATCTCTCTTTCTATAGTAGGCTTTCGGGTCTAAGATTCGAGTACAAGATCCGATTACACTCCCGAAGGTTCGCAACATCTTTATCTCCGAGGTAACCCGCGATTTGTGTAAGTAGTTCGATAACCTCGAAAACTTTCCAGACACAGAGGGCAACATTCTGCTAATCTCATTTGCGCCACGTCTTGCTATCAAAACTGTCTCCATGACCGCCAACTGCTGGATAAGCCGAGACCCTGACTCCCAGGAGGAGCAATATGCTTGATGAAGACGAGAAGGACCTGCTTCGCGGCCCACAACCCAGAACTGTGCAACACCGGATGATCCCAAACCACGCCGGTCCAACCAAGCGTTTATGCAAACGGAAGTAGGAAATGGTATCTCAATGGTCAAGGCATCTCAATCAAATACAAATGAAATGAGCTTCGTCAATCTCATACAACCAACCCCACGTGAACATCGTACACTGCCACGACTTCGACACCTGCCCCATACCATGGTGATTTGGGTGAGTGGGTTGTCACTCGGGAAGGGTTGATATCTTTCTTTTTTTTGTCTTCCATATTTATCGACGCTCAAATCTTCAGAGCAGCCTTTTCATCAATAACAGTGAATGTACTGGTCTTCTTTGCCACAGGCCGCTTTACACGGAGGACGGCATCTTGATCAGACATTCTTCTGCCTAGTGCGCGCTCGACTTTTGCGCCCAAGCTCAGTTTGCTCAAGTCATCAGACTTTTTCTGCGAGGGTACGAAGCGCTGTTGCGATAGACGCTTGTTTTCCAGCCTGTCCAGACCCTGTGTGAGATGGCGGATTTCGGCCATGCCGGTTTCGGGACTGACGGTGATATTGGCAGTGCCGGAGCCGGAAACGAGAGTCTGTGCATTTGAGTAGTTGCTTGTTGTGGTGGCAAAGGAGGGAGAAGCAGAGTAGGTTGAGTAGCGCTTGGAAGTACGCTTCGATGTGAGCTGTTCATGTTATCAGTCAGCAGGGTGACGCTGTGAGGACTGAATAGTTTGGACTTACGCTGGGGGCCATAATTGGCCTTTGGGATTCAAGAGATCGGCGAGACATGACTTCGAGAAGAGGCGGCTGTGGTTGCGAGTGGCCTTGATTCACCCAACTCCGGGGTCAGAGTGAAGCCAATGTGTTCGAGGACAAGATCGGTGGTTGCGCTGGCCACACACCCGTTTTCTTGCCCCAGTGACCCAGTTGTTGCGGTACCAGGATGCTGGGGTTGTGGGAGGGTGATAGAGAGAAAAAGCGGTGTTTCCAGAATAAATGTGTGCAAGTAAGGGTTAATAAGTCTGAGTGTGCACAGATTGAGTCCAAAGCAGCGGTGACGGTGGAGTGGGAAACGAGCAAGCGTGGCCGAAAACTGCAATTCCGCTGGTGATCAAAGTCAAGTCCGGACTAGACGATCTAACTGCCAGTGCTGACGCCAGCGAATGGAGTACAATTTTTGGTGGCTCTGGCAACCCGGGGAGATTGGCGTTGACCTGGTATCTTGAGTCTATAGCAGTTGGAAGAGTCGCAAAGGAGGATAGACGGGGGTAGTAATAATAGCGACGGAGGTAGAATCACTCAGTTGGATGAGATTGGGGCGATGCAAGAGAGAGTCCGAGTAAGTCAGCGGTAATGCTAGCGTAATTGGATAAGGCGGATTTGTGACTCCAATGGATTGGACTTGGAAAGATCCTGGAGCTTTGTCGAGAGGGGAGGAAAAGGATGGATGCAAGAGATGAAAAAGAGGGAAAAGAGAGATGTAGGTGTGCGCATATGTGTAAGAAGGTGTCTCTGTCTGGTGATGGTTGATGGTAGCGGTGGTGGTCGATCCGCACCGAGCGGCTGGGCTCTCTTGGTACTGTTAGGGCTGCCTACCCAGGGTTAGAAACAAGCTTGTTTAACCCTTGGTGGGCTCCCAGGCAACTTACTAGGTACCTGGTGTTTTCCTTTTGGGGGGGCAAGCATCCGGAATCTTCCCCTTGTGGGTGCCTTGTTCAGCCTTTAGGGTCTCATGCTCGGGCCAGTCACAGCCCGTTGTTCCTCCTGGTACCTGGTGTTTCTCGTATCCTCTCCCCTCTTTCTACGCCCTGCAGCTTGCCCAGTCAAGCCACTGCTTCAGATTTCACCCCAGAACCCGGTTCCTGGTCCACCACGTGGCGGTTGACGGACCTTGACCTGCATGATGGCCAGTAACCATTGACCACCACAGCCGTTACCACAGAACTCAGAATTGGGAACCCGAGGGGAAGAAAAAGGTAAACGGTTCATGGGTGCGTCCAGCCCATCAATCATACCACTACCGACCCGTTCATCCCGTTATTGCAAGTACACTTCTCACCGTTTTTGACAGGTGTCTACCGATCGCGTGCTGCCCTCAGAGCCAACGCCCGTCCGGCCTTAGCCCGTGGGCGCAGATTGCAAAGACTGTCCGTCTTGGTCATGCGCCCCCTGACGAATCTGGCTAACCAACGGTGCCAATCCAAGATAGGTGCTTGGTGTCCTGTTTTGCCCTGTTGCTTGTCTGGCACCAGCTATGATCAACAAGGATGATCCATTGGGGAGAAGGCTAGAAGAAAACCAGAAGGCCTGGTCAGCTTTGGGCAGTTTCCAGGGAGGATCCTCAGCTCCATCAAATCCCTACTGATCCTCCGTCTTTGGAATCGGATCTCGACTACGCACACCAGTGTTTCACAACGTCTTGCCCGGCGTCACCTCGACCAGGTCAAGGTCCAGATGCAGGTCTCCCGCTGTCCGGTTGTCCGTCGACCTGCATGTGGCCTGTCATGAGCATTCAAGGGCGACAAGGGTTGCTTTCCGAGGATGGCAGATGGCAGATGGCCAGTCACGCCAGCGTCAAAGTCCGAATAATTCTTTA